TCCAGTCTGAATCCACCTTCTCTGAGTTTGAAACCACCATCCCTTGTCCTGTCCCTCCATCCCTTGTCCCCAGTCCCTCTCCAGCTCTCCTGGAGCCCCTTTAGGCTCTGGAAGGGGCTCCAAGGTCTCCCTGGAGCCTTCCCTTCTCCAGGTGAGCACCCCCAGCTGTCCCAGCCTGGCTCCAGAGCACAGGGGCTCCAGCCCTGGGAGCAGCTCTGGGGCCTCCTCTGGACTCGCTCCAGCAGCTCCACGTCCTCCTGCTGTTGGATCCCAGAGCTGGAGGCAGCTCTGCAGGTGGGGTCTCACCTGAGGGGGCAGAATTCCCCCCTCCCTGCTGTGGGACCTGCCCAGGACACAGGGGGGTTTCTGGGATGGAGCAAGTCCAGCCCCTCACCCACCAATACCCCCAGATCCTTCTCCCAGGGCTGCTCCCGATCCCTTCATGCCCATCCTGGACTGATCCCAGGGGTTGCCCTGACCCAGGATCACATTCCCTCCTTTCCTGCCTGGCCCTTCTGAACAGCCTCCACTCCTGGGGTCTCCATACCTGTCCCCTTTCCCATTTCTGGTGTTCCCATCCTAGACCTGATGTCCCCATTCCCAGTTCCTGGTGCCTCCAACCTGCTCCCACTGTCCCCATCCCTGTCCCCAGTGTCGCCATCCCCATCCTCCCTGTCCCCATTCCCATTCCTGAGGTTCCCATTCCTGTCCCCATTCCCATTCCTGAGGTTCCCATCCCTGTCCCCATTCCCATTCCTGAGGTTCCCATCCCTGTCCCCATTCCCATTCCTGGTTCCCAGAGAGGAACTGCCGGATGCCAGAGGAGGGAACCAGGATTTATTGCCCAAAGCAGGAGATTTTCACACCACAATAAAGCATCAGTAATAATTGTGCTCCTGGGTTTCACACACGGAAAAGCAGGAAGTTGATCCATCGGGAAGAGCCACAGGGGGGCTGGGCTGGGTGGGAGCAGCGGGATGAGCTCTGCCAGCAGCTCCTGCCTTTCCACAGGGACAGGGAAGGGGCAGATCCAGGTCTGGGATCGCTCAGGCCGTGATTTCTGTCAGGATGAGAGTGGGGAAGGAGTCCCCATGTCCCTGTGCCCATCCCAGGGGATGGATCCAGCTGGGGAGCCCATGGAGAGCAGCAACTGCTCTGGATTCCCTCCTGATCCTGCTCCGTCCATTCCATCCCAATTCCACTCCAGAATCCAGCCCTGATCCCAGCCCACAATTCCACCTGATCCCACTCTGCAATCCTGCCCCGAGCTGCAATCCTGTTCCAATCCTGCTCCATCCATTATGCCCCGATTCCCCCCTGGAATCCCGGGATCCATCCTGGCATCCCTGCAGGGAGGATCTGGATCCACACACGCTGCTGGTACTCACTGGTGGGCGTGGGGTCGTATCCATTGCCCTCCCTCTTCCCTAAGGAAAGAAAGCGGGATCAGCACCCTTGGCACAGGATCCCCGGAATGCTGCCGGGCGGATCCGGGCCCCTTCCCGACCCCCATCCCGTGAGTTACCGGCTCGGAGCTTCCAGACACCGACTGCGATGAGGCCGATGATGACGATGATGGCAGCGATGACGGACACAGCAACCAACACCGGGGTGGAATTCCAGATGGATTCCGGCTCTGGGAAGGGCGGGAGGGTGAGCAGGGGGAGGGTTACCCCTATCCTGCTGTCCCACACTCCCAAATTCCTCGTTCCCACATGCCCAGTTTCCACATTGCCCGTTCCCAGGCTCACCCCAGGCAAAGATCCCGGGCTCCGGCATTCCAGCGTGCTCCACCCGGCACCGGTACTGCTCCCGCTCCCCCGGCAGCGCCTCGATCCTGGCCCAGCTGTGGAAGGTGCCGTCGCTGTTGGGAACGATCCCACCCCACTCCGTCTCCTGATCCCAGATTTCATCCCCCTTCATCCAGCTGATCCCGATGATCCCGGGATAGAATCCGTACGCGTGGCAGGACAACGTCAGGATCCCGTGTTCCTCGTACCCGGACACGTGGACATCAGGGGGCTCTGGAGTGGGATAAGGGTGAGATCCATCCATGGAATTCCCATGGGAATGGGACCACAGTGAGATCCATCCACAGAATTCCCATTGGAATGAAACAACAGTGGGATCCATCCATGGAATTCCCATGGGAATGGGATTGGGGTGAGATCCACCCACAGAATTCCCACTGGAATAGGACAACAGTGGGATCCATCCATGGAATTCCCATGGGAGTTGGATGACTCAGATTCATCCACGGAATTCCCACAGGGATTCCCATGTTCCTCAGTTCCACCCTCCCAAATCCCACATTCCCAAATCCCACATTCCCATGGGAATTCTGTCTCCCTCACCTTTGCGCTCCAGCACCTCCCGCCCGTATCCAACATATTTCTGGAGCCATTCTGCACATCTCAGTCCCAGGTCTTGTTGAAGATCCTCATACCCTTCAGATTTCCATTTCCTCTGGGTGATCTGGGCAGCTCCATCGGCCGCCACGAAGGTCCCGCTCTCCGGGGAGAAGGAGATGAAATCTCGCCCGTCGCAGCCGTCCCGAAAGGTTCTGCGGACGCTCCTGTCGGACAGGAGGTCACAGCCATAAACTCGCTGCCATGTATGGAGACCTGGGGGTGGAATCAGATCCACAGAGACTCCTGGAATTGTGTCCCAGCCCCACAGAACCCCATTCCAGCCCTATGAAGACCCACAGTCCAATGGAGACCCACAGAGGCTCATCCCAGCCCCTTGGAGTGTCCTGGATCTGCATCCCAGACCCACACATCCCATCCCAGCCCCACACATCCCATTCCAGCCCCACACATCCCATCCCAGCCCCACACATCCCCCCATTCCCTGGCTCCCCCCACTCACCCCCACTCCAGTTGTACCGGTCCCGCAGTATCTCCAAGTTGGCGGCAGTCACGAGCCGGTTCCTCTCACTGTTCTGGGTCTGTCTATCCCAATATCCCAGCTCAGGTCCAGCCGCCATCCACGGCGTCTGCGGCTCCGTCCGGTGCCGCTCACTGTCGTAGCGAATGAAGGGGATCCCATCCAGGTATCCAATTTCCATGAACTGAGGGATCCCCGGGCTGGGCTCTGTCACCGCCACTTGCAGGTAACGCAGGGAGTGGAGAACTGGGGGGACACAGAGATTTGGGGGGTCCAGAGGGGTCATGGGTCAAGGAAAGGGGGAACTGGGAAAGCTGGGAGAGCCCAGTTTGGGGATTTGAGGATCCCAGGGCCAAGGAAAGGTGCGTGTAGGGACTGGGAGAGGTGGGATGGGGCATCCAGGGGTCCCTGTGCCCAGGAAAGGGGGGCCCAGGGAGCCCTAGTGTTGGGAAAGAGGAGTCATGGGGTGAGGAGACCTAGAATGGCTGGGAAAGGGGGTGCAGGGGGGTGTTGGAGCAGGATAAGGGGGTTCAGGCAGGTCCTAGTGCTGGTGAAGTGGGTCCAAGGGGTCCCAGAGTCAAGAAAAGGGGGGTATAGGGGTTGAGAGAGGTGAGATAGGGGGTCCCTGTGCCCAGGAAAGGGACCTCAGTGTTGAGGAAAGGGGGGTTCACAGGATGGGGAGATCCAGGATGTCTGCGAATGGGGGTCCTGGAAATCTTCAGTGTAGAGAAAAGAAGGCCTGGGGGCTGAGAAAGGCAGGAATGGGGGTCCAGGGCATCTCAGGGTCAAGGAAAAGGGGGGTCTGGGAAAGGCAAGATGGCTGTGAAAGGGGGTGTAGGGGGGTGTTGGTACAGGAAAAGGGGATTTAATTGGGTCCTGGAGCTGGGGATGGGGGTCCAGGAGTTTCCCAGTGCACAGGAATGGAATTCAGGGTGGCTCCCAGTCCAAGAAATGGGTGTTCAGGGGGTCCCTGTGCCAGGTAATGGAAGTTCAGGGGGGTCCCTGTGCCAGGCAATGGAAGTTCAGGGGGTTCCTGTGCCCAGGAATTGTCATCGAGGGTGTTCCCGGTGCCTGGGACCCCCTGCAGGAAGCACAGGGAGGGGAGAACTGGGGGGGTCACAGAGATTGGTGGGTCTGGGGGGTCCAAGGGTCAAGGAAGAGGAACTGGGAGAGCTGGGAGAGCTGGGAATGGTCCAAGGTTCAAGGACAAGGGAGGCTGGGACTGGGAGAGGTGGGATAGGGGATCCAGGGGGTCCCTGTGCCCAGGAAAGGGGGGTCCAGTGCTCCCCGGTTGGGGAGCTGGGGGTTGGGAAAGGCAGGAATGGGTGTCCAGGGGGTCCCAGGGTCAAGGAAAAGGGAGGATCA